TATGCGTATATTTATCTACGCTTATATTTACATCAATGTTTTCTTTTTATCTATCTATCTATCTATCTATCTATCTATCTATCTATCTATCTATCCATCTCAGTTCGATCATTCTCTATCTATCTATCTATCTATCTATCTATCTATCTATCTATCTATCTATCTATCTATGTCAGTTTGTTCATTATCTATCTATCTATGCTTATATTTACATCAATGTTTTCTATCTATCTATCTATCTATCTATCTATCTATCTATCTCAGTTTGTTCATTATCTATCTATCTATCTATTTATCTATGCGTATATTTATCTATGCTTATATTTACATCAATGTTTTCTTTTTATCTATCTATCTATCTATCTATCTATCTATCTCAGTTTGTTCATTATCTATCTATCTATCTATCTATGCGTATATTTATCTAACTCTGCTTATATTTACATCAATGTTTTCTATCTATCTATCTATCTATCTATCTATCTATCTATCTATCTATCTATCTATGTTAATATTTATTTAAATTTCTTTCTTTCTTTTTTCTTTCTTTGTATTTGTCTATCTATCTACCAATGACCAGTTTTGACCCTAAGGAGATTGTGTCGCCTTTGCTGAAAATGTATCTAATTCTTATAGCGACCGTTGCAATGAATCCACTGCAAAACTGCCAATTAGTTGATCCGATCACCAAACCCTTTACTTCCATACGACAGACACCTTCATCAGATCCTTTTCAGCAGCAATCCGAATCTATGTAAAATTAATTGTAATTAAATACTCTCCACCCTTGAAGCTGTCGTGATTAAATTATAAAAAAAAAACAGGGTACCCTTGTATTTATATAAGGCACAAATCCAAGAACACAAAGCCTATAATCTGCATGCGCTGACATCATTATATCGAAAAATAGATAAACTTTGAAATATCAATTCGCAGCAGAAGCCGACTTAATATAAAAAGAAATGAATAAATTGATGTCTCGTCTTCTCATTTTCACCGAAAAATAGTTTGTTGTCTTAACCGAGATAAACGGCGGAAAGAAAATACCATCTAATTGCTGATAATTAGTGTGACAAAAACGGATGAATTAAAAGACAGTTATTTACATTATTCAGACTATTGTCCTCATCTTTTTTTCCATGTTTATTACAACGTTTCGGCCTTTCAGTATCTGTCTATATTTCTGAGATGTGTACACTAAATTATTCGGATCGCCATAATTACAAAGTATCTGTACTGAGATTATTTATGTGCATTATTCATTATTCGGACTATTGTCCTCATCTTTGTCGCCATATTTATTACAACGTTTCGGCCCATCAGTATCTGTCTATATTTCATTATTGGACCATTTCCCTCATCTTTGTTGCAATATTTATTACAACGTTTCAGCCTTCAGTATCTGTCTATATTCCTGAGATGAGGTATTATGTACATTATTTACATTATTCGAACTATTGTCCTCATCTTTGTTGCCATATTTATTACAACGTTTCGGCCTTTCAGTATATGTCTATATTTCTGAGATTGTCGCCATGTTTATTACATTCAGGTGGTTGGAATGTCGAACTGAACCCTTTATTTCGCTCACTGGGGTAGACTGTTCTAGTTCCACATGCCATGTTTAATGAATGTCAGTTATTATTTATCTCCTGTCAATTCCCCTCTCCAATTTCTCCACTGCCTTAACTTGGTATTGAACTCACACTCTTTGGGTCCTGTCACTGGATCTAACCAACGACTTTATCCACTATGCCATGTGTATGAATTTCTCGATATTATAAACATAATATCTTCCGCAACCATTTTTAGTAGTGATCATATTGCAATTTTTTTTTACCAAATTGCAATATGAGCTCTGGTAAAACCATGCAATGATAACAGCCAAAAAAAAAAAATAATACATCTTATATGCCGTGAAATACGGTAATTAATTAAGATATATTGTTGGAATATTGGGACAACAAGGGAAATGAGGCGGGAGGGCAATTAGCTTTAAATCCTCCATTCATTCCTTCTGCTTGATGAGCGATGGCTGCTGGGACTTAATATACACTGATTTCAAAGTTTCAAATTAGCCCTGCCCAGCGCTTAGCACTGGGCACACTGCTGACTTTTAATGAAGTCTAACTAAATATGTTTCATTTACCAATCGCTGTAAATTTACAAATTTCCTTTGTGAATATTGGCTGGTACATGTTGGTTCCTCAGTAATTCTAACCTTTGACACGTTCACTCTACATCGCACTGACATCTACACTGGCAAATTACCGAACTACTGTGATGGATACGTATATCTTAGTCTTACTGTTGTATTTATATTCTGGTTTCAGTAGTTGTTTATTTACGGGTTATTTTCTTAAACTGGTAGCAAACCAAGGCTACAGGGCACGGCAGGTGCTACTATTTAACCCGTATTTGGGGAGGAGGAGAAGAGATGGATTCATATCTCGTTTTGGGCCAATAGACGCACCGGGTTTGAGTGCAATTTGAACACGGTGTGTCTATAACCGTTTTGTTATGGGTGCATTCAACATATGTAGAGAGAGTAGGAAAATATTGAAGGGTGCTGAAAAAATTCCGGCCCAACTGAGAAAACCCCATAAAAAGAAATATAAAGCTGGGATTCTAGTGTCCCACTCGCATGTATCTATCAGGAAAGATGCATGGGTAAATATATATTATCGAGAGAGAAGTACAATCAATCAATCTATCTATAATTATATCGATCTAAGGCTATTTATATCTTTCTCAGTCTATTCATGTCTGTCAGTCAGTCTGTCTGTCTGTCTATCTATCTATATATCTATCTATCTATCTATCTCAGTCTCTCTGTTCATATTGACCCATATATCTCTTTCTAGCCAATCTATCTATCTATCTATCTATCTATCTATCTATCAGTGTCTGCTTATATCTATCTATCTATTTCAGTCTGTTCATATCTATCTATCTATCTATCTATCTATCTATCTATCTATCTATCTTAGTGTTTTCATATCTATCTATCTATCTATCTATCTATCTATCTATCTATCTATCTATCTATCTCTCTTAGTCTCTTGTTCATATCGACCGATGTATCTCTTTACAGCAAATCTATCTATCTATCTATCTATCTATCTATCTATCTATCTATCAGTGTCTGCTTATATCTATCTATCTATCTATCTATCTATCTATCTATCTATCTATGCCTATTCATGTCTATCTCAGTGTATTCGTATCTATCTATCTATCTCTATCTATCTATATCTATCTATCTATCTATCTATCTGTCAACAGAACGCGGAAATACGGAAAAACACGCCCCACGTAAAAGAGATAAATACTCGCTAGCAATTATCACACCCTTTGACTAATGCAACGGCTAGTTACATGTTTTGGAAAGCGTCTGTTTGCGCAAAAGTCCCCGTTCGCGCCTCTGCCCTCTTTCGCCGTCTAATAACAGACCACAAGTGCCAATTCCGCTGTTTCGCGATTTTCTCACCAGATCTGAAGCTCTCGTCTGAAATTAACATAGGTCAATAGGAATCTAAAGACCTAACCGAAGCAATTAACCAAATATATATATTAAGAAGAAAAAGAAAAAGAAAAAAAAAGAAGAAAGTCAGACCAAAAACTATATTTGCTTTTCCAAACAGGTCGATATATCATTTTGGTAGACTATCGACATTCGATAACAAAGATGGAAGGTGAAAAATAATTTGCTTAAAATTATATATAGCGGGTGTAGCAGCAAAAGTGTTCAAATCCTGTAACAGCGTGGGATAATTGTCTATCCCCACTAAAAATATTTTATATCTAAAAACACACTAAACTATTTCAGTTTCTTCTTTTCCAGGTTTTCAGATAAGACGTTTAGCCGTCTTGGCACCATTTCTCGTAACAATGACCAAAAAAACCCTTTGAGTTATACAGAAAGAGAACAGGTTAAAATCGTTCTGTGTCAATCCCAGTATGTCTTCCCAACTGGGGCGCCCCGTGGCGGTGTAGTGGTTAACAAGCTTGTCTCGTTAGAACAATTACGCCCGAGTAGTGAGTTACGATCCTCAATGAAAGCCCCTAACTTTCGGCCTTGTGCCAGATCTAAGCTACGCTTGGAAAATCCCTATTGGGCACCTTGAAGCGGTGTAATGGTTAGCAAGCTTGTCTCGCTAGAACAAATAAGACTCAGTAGTGAGTTCGATCCTCACTGGGTGCCCCCTATTTTCGGCCTTGTGCCACATCTAAGCTACGCTTGGAAAATCATTATTGGGCACCTCGAAGCGGTGTAATGGTTAGCAAGCTTGTCTTGCTAGAACAATTACGACTGAGTAGTGAGTTCGATCCTCACTGGGTGCCTCTTACTTTCGGCCTTGTGCCACATCTAAGCTACGATTGGAAAATCACTTTGGGCACCTTGAGGTGGTGTAACGGTTATCAAGCTTGTCTCGCTAGAACAATTACGGCTGAGTAGTGAGTTCGATCTTCACCGGGAGCCCCATATTATCGGCATTGTGCCACTTCTAAGCTACGTTTGGAAAATCGCTATGTCTTCCCAACTGAGCAATGGTGAGAAGAAAAAGATCATTCAGGCCTTCGGTAATGATACCAAATTTTATACTCTGTCTTCCATCTTCAATGTCCATTCAAGAATCCTTAAGATAACGGTGAATAAGTTTAAAAAAAGGAGGGAACAGTAGAGAGGAAAACTGGATCAGGAGGTCACAACAGGAAGAGGGATCATCAAATCACTAACTTAGAGTTAAATACGTTCTTATCTTTCAGAGTCCAATAGTGTTATAAAATCTTCAGAGAATTCCAGTAAGATATCTTTAATCATTTTCTAAGATAAGATTCTAATAATTGGACAATTTTGCTGTTACACTATTTGGACAAAATATCTTTTCAGCATACAGCTAAAGAGATCAATTAGAAAAGATCCAACTCAATTCATAAAACGGTTGGCATATGAGAGAGAAGATTCAGCAATAATAGTCCAAAGAGCAGTGAAAAAAGACTTGAAAATGAAATCGGGCGCGAAACCTGTGAGCCGCCATGTTATTCCAGGAAAAAAAGAAGGTTAGAGAGGGCGAAGATCATCTTGAATATGTTTGAAAAATTATCCTGGAATAATATATATATATATATATATATATATATATATATATATATATATATATGTGATCGAAATAAAAGTATAAAATTTAATATTACAAGACATATTAAAACAATATTAAATAATAAAAAAAAACAAAACTCAACAACAAGGTGGGAGGAAGCAACCGGTTTCGCTCCCGCTCGTCAGGCTTCCACGGGAGATTCAAAATTAAAACAGAGAAATGTACAATAAGAATAGGTGGAAAAAAAATTACGCATATATATATATATATGTTTGTGACAAAATGGCCAAACAAATTTCATCAAAGGTTCGCTGCTGCTTTTTCTCTGCTGAAGTTCGGATTATTTTTCAAACTCGGCCTATGTTTGGATCTGCGTGTAAAGACGTTCTCCCTCCCCACCATATTAATTCAATTGTTTACAAATACGTTTGTAGTTGCGGAGCCAACTACATAGGAAAATAACTCAGCGCTTAGACACTAGAATAAAGCAGCACGTTCCTACTAAAATTAGAAACCACACCCTGCCTTTGAATGGACTCGTCCCGAACACCTACAGTTCCGCCATATGCGAACATCTTTTAAATAGCAGAGATTGTACCGCCAAATTTAGTGTCTACTGGTTCACCGTGTTGGCTCGGTCACACTCTGTATTTCATCTTAAGGTTCTGGAGGCACTTTACATCGGGTCCCGCAAGCCTTCTTTGTGCAAACAACGTGAGTGTTTGCTGGGACTCGCTGTCATCTGCCTCTAGTTCCTTCTTGCATATTTACAAACATATATATATATATGCGTAATTTTTTTTTTTTACGTATTCTTATTTACCTTTCTCTGTTTTAATTTTGAATCTCCCGTGGAAGCCGGACGAGCATATATAAATATATGTTCCCCCCATATTGTTATTGAGTTTTTTTATTATTTAATATTGTTTTAATATGTCTTGTAATATTAAATTTTATACTTTTTATTTCGATCATTATATACCTACAAAATATCTTTAAATATATATATATATATATTTGAACTAAACTTCAATCCTTCATGAGCTTTTGCTCCTTAGCTATGATTACTTAATGATGAGCAAGTCATTTGCGTTTATGACCGATTTCATCACGATTCTTCTGTTAAACTTGGAGAATAATTATACATTCTTATTGCTCAAAGTAGAATCCAATAGTTTTATAAAAAGTACGTAGAATTCCAGTAAGATATCTTTAATCATTTCTAAGAGAAGATCCTGGGCTTAATCTAATAATTAGATAAATCAAATATTCATATCGAAGACACTAGTACCTCTTTGAGTAGACTCCTTACATATAACTTATCTGAACATAGTGCCATAAAAAAAGCATTTATTAATCCATCATTTACAACAACACCTAAGGAAAATTCTGGTCGAAAACGCAAGAATTCTTTATAAATCACATTATCAGAAACATCTGAAAGGCTCTATATATGAAACAATTCTCTCCTACCATTGACATTACAGTGGGATAGAAACAGTGGAAAGGGAATATTGAACGTTTTTTAAAAATAAAAATAAAAAGATGATCTTATGAATTCCACTTCTTGCGCGGCAAGTAAACTTGGAATAAACCTCCCACTAAAAAACAATACAGACACAATTGACAACGTAATTTCAAAACATTAAAAAAAATAGACATAAAATGTCTAGAAACAAAACATCATGAAAAATGGTTATATATTGGCTAAAAAACAGTTGGGGCAACAAAAATTATGGACAACTTGGTGTTCTCATATCATATATATATATATATATATATATATATATATATATATATATATATATAAATGAACATAGAATCAATTAGTATAATACGACTCTGAGTCTGTTTCATAATTATATGCAAGATATCAATATTGAATATATAAACTGGAAGATAGAAATAGAATTCTAGAATAGAAAATATTTTTTCTCTCTGATATTGAACAGTTTGTTTCATAAATTTATCACTCCTTAAGACTATATTTCTTGTTATATATATATATATATATATATATATAATAAAAATATATACATATAAAAAAATTAGTTACACATTTTATATATTAATTTTCTATTGAAAAAAACCAACTGGAATTTTTCTTGGAAAAAAATTAATAATGTATTTAAAAATACATTATTAATAATTTAATGGGATTTTAATTTTTTTAACATTCGCACCATATATAAAAATATCTGCTGTTTCTTAAACTTTAAATCTGGTTTATATATATTTATATATATATATATATATATACCATATATATATATATTCAAACAGTAGTTTGGGAATTGCCTATCGCCCTGTTGTTTAAAAAGGATGGAAATGCTTTTTTTTTGAACAAAAATTATTGTTTGGTTTTGTTTTTCTGGACAAGTTGTTTAGGGTTGGGTTTAGTTCTTTCTAAAGTCTTTTGAGAATTTTGCACTTCCAGTAGCCGCTTGTGTCTTAGGTTTCATTAAAGACTTGCTTGGGGTGAATTGATAATTTCTTTCGACAGTTTTATGATTGCCCATTTAAGAAGGATACCCGCAAGGCTTTTTCTTTTTTCTCTTCCACCTTCTCATTTTCTCCCGCTTCTTTTCTGCCATCTTTCTTTTTTTAAAGCTTCCCCAGTTTCTTTCCTCTCACTCTACTTTCGTTCTCCAACTCTCTCTGCTTTGTTTTCTCTCACTTTCACTCCCGTTAGTATACACCCCGCACCCCGGCAACTGTCAGCCATATATTTTCTTGTGGTCTTTGAATAACTTTGAGGTGTCATAGTAAGCAGATTTTGAACTCGCTAGAAATATTATGACTGAGTAGAGCCTTGGATAATCACTGGGCACACCATACCTTCGGGTTGTAAAAATTCCAAGACTTTAGAAAAACATCTTTTTTCTGTTCTTTTTCGCTTTCTGATTTTCCCTCGTATTCTCTCCTCTTCTTTGTTTGTTTTGTTTGTTTCTTTCTTTCATTCTTAAACTTCTTTCGAATCTTTTTTTTTTCATCTTTCTTTCTTTGCTTCTTTTCTTTCTTTCTTTCTTTCTTTCTTTATTCTTTGTATGTTTTCTTTCTTTTTCTTCTAATTTCTTTCTTTGCTTCTTTTTTGTTTCTTCTTTCTTTGCTTCTTTCTTTCTTGTTGCTTTCTTTTTTGTTCGTCTGCTTTTCTTCTTTTTTCTATTTTTTCTTTCTTTCTTTCTTTCTTCTTCATTTTCTTTCTTTTTAATTTGTTTATTTGTTTGGTCTTTC